AGTGAATAAATGACGAATCTTAAAGGATAATCTTCATCCCCAAATGGCTTGTAATCCTCAAAAATTATAATTCCACCCACCTGTTTGACAAGTGCCCTCTTCTTCTCCTCATTCTGCTCATCTCTGGCCTGCAGGTCTCGGTCAAACTGGGCCTTCATGGCCTGCATGTTGACCTCCAGACGTAGCTTGGCATCCTCTGTGGCCTGTAGCTCGTCCTCCAGCTCCTCCAACTGAGTGCGCATCTCCTCTACCTGCTGATCCAGAGTGCGCTTGGATTTCTCCAGCTCGTGCACCTACAGATTATAGAACGTAAAAAAAAATTACAGTGAGATAGGATTATAACCAGTGATCAGCTGCTAAATGATAAATCCAGGATCCAGGATCCAGGACTTCTCTACTCATTCATATTTACTCCACATTTCTACAATTATTTTTTAAAGACTGCAGAGAAAGATTTCCATTTTTCATAAATTTTCACGTTTTCCAAACCACTTTCTACATTACATTTTTATGATATCTCTAGACCTGGAAATCACAATTTTAAAATTCCGTGATTCCTCCCATTTTCAAATTAGCATTTTATTTTATTTGTTGCTTCTATGTTTGCCACAGCACTCTGAGTAGATCCAAATAGTGAAAATTCATCAGCCCAAAATCTTGCTCCAAATACTGCACATTAAACATGCATATGTTGTGACTGGCTGATGAAGTATTCTGTTGTCAGTGATGACAGGCAAATTACTTGACACCTGAAACTTGTTGCATCACACTTAGTTATCACATGCTGTAGTGCACATTATGAGGTCTCAAAACAAAAACAGCCAACAAAATCTGCTGTTTACAAAACACCAAAGGTTCTTTAAACATCATGATGATGAATCCAAACATAACTACATATGTAATATAACAGCACAAACGTCCAGTAACATACTGACTTACATTCTTGCCTACGTCATCCTTGGAACTCATCAGATCCTCCATCTCAGCTCTGAGCTGCTTGTTGAGTCTCTCAAATTCCTCTTTAGCCTCCAGAGCTTCATCCAGGGCTCGGGCCATAGACAGAGCTTTGGTCTCCTTCTCTCTCGCCTCGGCCTCAGCACGGTCCCTCTCCTCAGCGTAACGTGCAGAGATGGTCTTCTCCTCCGCCAGCATCTGACATACACATCAACAAATGCTTTGGTAAGATTTTTTTCATAATTATTAACAAATGTTTTTCATTAGAATTGAATGATAATAAAAAAAATAAAATTACAATTTAGCATTATACATAAAAAAAATTCACTTAAAAATTAAAATGTTGAAAATCAGTTGGTAACCCTCATATTGTTGTTCATCTTTCAAATACAAATTAAGATATTTTAAATGAAACCTGTAAGATTTCTGTCCATCCATTGAAAGTACATTCCACTAAAACTTCAAAAAGTTCATTAAGACATCATAAAAGTTGGTTCTCACACATCAAGCAAGCATGCTTGAGCTTCAGTTTCCCACATTTGATGAACTCTATATATGTGCATTGATCAGTTTATTGTGAAACTAAAAACCTAAATTAAATCTGTTCATCATATAAAGCAATTGTGTCTTTTTCAGAAGTCTTGGATTAAATTAAGCTTTAAAACTTCAAATTAAATGTCAAGTTTTGGTGAATGGACTTTCAATAGAAGGACAGAGCATCATATCTTCATTTATTTTTCAAAGAGGTGTGATAAGTCCTATGGTTTTGGAATGACATGAGGGATATTAAAAGACAGAAATTTCACTTTTGGGTGAAATGTCGTTTAGCCAAAACAATTCATACCTGGTCAAACTTCTTCTGTTTCTTCTCCAGGTTTGAGACGATCTGTCTCTGGTGGTCCAGGTCCACCATAAGGTCATCAAGCTCCTGCTGCAGCCTGTTCTTGGTTTTCTCCAGCTTGTCGTAAGCGATGGCCTTTTCCTCCAGTTTCTGACTGGTCCCCTCCATGTCTTTCTGCAGTTTCCTCTTGACCTCCTCCAGGCCTTCAAGAGATCCCACATCATCCTCCAGCTTTTTCTTGGTCTCCACCAGCTATCCAAGAAAGGAGGATTACAGAGGAGTGCTTTTACTTTCAAATGTTTGAGTAGTAAATAGTACATCTGATTCCCTTTCTGAACAGAAGTCTGAAAATTACACTTTTACATAACCCACTTTTGGTCAAATATGACAGGCTTTTGTGAGGTTCTAGCCAACATGTCACTGGTAGAGTAAAACAACATTATTGAATGTGTCAACTGATGTGCAAGATGTTGATATAATCTGACTTGCTGTCTGCCCTAATAAAAGAATATGGAGTGATTGTGCATACTTGGGATTGTAGTGTTGCCAGTTGTCTCTCCAGGTTCCTTCGCGCCTCCTCTTCCTCCTCCTGCTGCTCCTGAAGGCTGTTCTTCTCTTCCTCCAGTTGTCGGACACGGCTGCTCAGGTTCAGCTTCTGACGCGTCTCCTCTTGAAGCAGCTCCTATATCCACAATATTAACCAATCATGACTCAATCACATCACACACACCTTTTCATTAAAAAGTCTACCAATTGTTTTTATTAATTATCTATTGTTTTATTATTCTATGTCATTGCTTCATCCACTCTTGCAGGGCTTCCTGTTTGCAGAGACGCATTACCTGAGTGTCCTGAAGCTGGCTCTCTAGGCTGGAGGCATCTTTGGCCAGCTTCATTCCCTTCTTCTCAGCATCTTCCAATAGAGCAGAAACATTGTCCAGTTCCGCCTGCAACAAATGATAAATAAATAAATAAATTTACAGTGGAGAGATATTTCACAAATACCCTCGATTCTGATCTATTTAAGGTTGCTTTCACACTTGGCTTGACAGCCTGGTCCGAACCGAATAATTACAATTAATTTTAATAATTGCAGATTTAATGATTGCAGGTCTCATATGAAACTCCGAGTCAGAATTTAACAGAACAGTTTAATTCCGTGTAGTAAATAAATGTTTGTTTTAAAATTGTGCATTTAAAAAAAAAGCTTCAGGTCTGCTGTGATTATTTGTAGGGCTGCACAATGTTGTGATTATATACCAATATGACCATAAAATCATATATGAAACTGGTTATTATATAATAATGTAATAGTACACACGCTAATATTTAATCACTGCAATTTGCAATTTATTTAATAATAATTACAATTAATTATAAAAATTGCCAATTTAATGAATGCAATTTGATAAATTCACATCAAGCCATAATCGTGATTAGGGTTTTATTTTGATTAACTGTGCATCCCTTATTACAGCCACACTTTCAGTCTGCAAAAAAACAATGAAACAACAGTTATCTGTAGTGTGTGAGGAAGGACGGAGTGTAACAGTATTTCATGAAACTGGGAGTAACAGAAATGATTCTGATATGAAGTGTAACAGAACTCGCTTGTAGTTTATGTGACACAGTCTAACAGCACTGACCTGTAGTCTGTGGGAACGGTCTGAAAGTTCTCCTTTAACCTTCTCTACCTCGCTGAAGCGGGCCATGAACTCCTGCAGCTGAGCCTCAAGTTTCTTTCTCTTGTGCTCAGATTCAGACTTGGCTTGCTGCAAACTCTTCACATCATTGGTCAGCTCCTTATTATCACTCTCCAGAGTCTGTTTGTTTTTCTCCAGATTTGACTTCACCTAATGTTGACAGACAGACAGTGTGAGAGAGAGACAGATTTTGCCTGAACTGTATCAACAGGAGACCATACCATATTCAATCACTGAACGAGGAAATTAATTCCAAACACATCATTCTGACAGCAGACTGGCAGTGTTCCAGTCGAGACATTAGAACTGAAATCCCTCACTACAGTAATGAGTAATAATCATTTACTCTTCATCTCTGTGGCTTACTCTCTTGGCCTGCTCCAGCTGCTCAGAGATCTCCTCCAGAGATGTGCCGTGCCTCTGTCTCATCTCCTGGATCTGAGACTCATGGTTTTTTATCTCATCATCAATGGCCTTCTTCAGCTCTGCCACCTCCTGCTCTCGTTTGTTCCTTCATGAGCAAAAGACACATGATTAGGCAAGACACATTTGAGGAGAAAGGGTGAGATTTCAATTAACTTAATCTGTCTTAAATGGCTCTCCAATTACATTACCAAAAGACTAATTTGAACTAGTCAAGCGTAGAAAAATGTTGGCACCAAGGTTTTAGCATAGTTTTGATATTTCTTCTTTTTTTTCACCTAAAAACAACAATTCTGTCCTCATTTACTCATCCTCCACACGTTCCAATCCTGTACAAGTTTCTTTCTTCTGCTGAGCACAAAAGAAGATATTTTAAAGAATGCTGGTAACCAAACAGATTTCCATAGTATGGGAAAAAATACTATGGAAGTCAATGGCTACCATCAACTGTTTGGTTACCAACATTCTTTAAAAGGTTTGAAACAAGTGAAGGGTAAGTAAATAACAGAATTTTCATTTTTGGGTGAATTATGCCTTTAAAAATTAGTTCCATTTTGTGGTCATGATAAATTTAGTTCCTGATGCAGACTCTTGTACCTCAGCTCCTGCTGGGCGGCAGTGGTGTCCAGGGTGTCTTCCAGCTCAGTCTTCAGAGCCTCCAGTTCCTCACTCAGATCTCTCTTAAGTTTCTCAGCTTTGTTTCTGGCTGCTTTCTCAGACTCCAGATCCTCCTGGAGCTCAGCTAGCTGGGCCTGCAGCTCCCGCACTTGCTTCAGAGCATTGTTCTTCTGAGCGACCTCCTCATCACCTCTGGGGAACAACAAGGATAAGCAAAGATTATTAACAAAACCATGCATGCTAAATTAAAGTTAATTTCTACACTTTGTTTATAAACTCTTTCTAATCCTGATTAATTAAATAGTTCTGAAATGAATACGAATACTTTTATTCAGCAAGAACACATTAAATTGGTCACACGTAACAAAGAGTTTTATAATGTCACAAAAGATTTCTAGGTAACAATTTATTTTAAGGTGTCCTTGTTACATGTTACATGTACTTACCATTATAGTAACAATTAATTATGCATAATTACATGCAAGTAACCCAAAGCCAAACCCTAATCCTAACCCTAACCGTATAGTAAGTACATGTAGTTAATTAATATTACTCCGTACTTAAATGTATAAATACACTGTAACAAGGACACCTTAAAATAAAGTGTAACCGATTTCTATTTCAAATAATCACTTCTTTTAAATTGTAAATATATTTCTCAACATTTAAAACATTATCACTGTATTTTTGCCTTGGTAAACATAAGATTTAAAATAAAATAATACAGACTGAACGCCCCTGTTATATATATAACATGGGAAAGCATGTTTTTGTGTGTATTCATGATGTGATGTCGCAACAGCAATGTGATACCAATTTACTAAATTATTTCAGGACTGCACAATGTTAACAAACACAAAGGTCAAGAATAAAAACTTTCCATGACTAATATTCAAATTTATATGACGCCAACATAACTCGGCCTACCATAAGTTATTGTTTTGACATGGTCAGCTAGACGACAGCCAAACTATTTTGTTATTCTGTGTTCCTCAATGACTAGATCTTCACCTGGCCAGTACAGCCTGTAGCTCTTCTTCTTTCTTGGCCAGTTGGATCTTGAGTTCCTCAATCTGGGCCTGCAGCTCAGCTATCTGGTCCTGTAGGTCTGTGGTCTCAGCATCCAGCTTTCTTTTGGCTTTCTCAAGCTCCTGCCTAGTTTTCTCCTCTTTCTTTAGACGCTCTGAGGGTCAAACACACACACATAAACACGTAAGACTCACTGCTTTACATTCACTTAAATAAAATGACCCATATTCAACCCAGTCCTCACCTTCCAGGTCTACCATCATCATTTCTTGCTTGTTTTTGACTTTGCCAAGGTTCTTGGCCTTCTCTTCTTCCTCAGCCAGCTGGGAGGTCATCTCACTGACACGGTCCTCCAGGAGTTTTTTCTCCTGAGGGATAGAGAGGAGCATTCCTACAACAAAGGCCATGGGTTGCATTTTGATTAGGCAGCCTGACATCTGCACTGACCTTTAGGAATTTGGAGTTCTGGTCCTCCAACAGCAGAATATCTTCCTCCATCTTTTTTATCTTGGCTTCAGCAGTCACCTTCTCCAACTGAAGCTTCTGTCGGGCAGCCTCTTCTTCATCTAGTTGTTCCTCTAGGTCCTGAAGTCATGCACATACACACACACACACACACTCCTCCATCTTTTTTATCTTGGCTTCAGCAGTCACCTTCTCCAACTGAAGCTTCTGTCGGGCAGCCTCTTCTTCATCTAGTTGTTCCTCTAGGTCCTGAAGACAAACACACACACTTGTGGTTTCTGTACAGCAGCAGTGTAGGACTTTGTGAGCCTTTTTAGCCAAGTACTTGCTCAATTCATTATTCCAACCCAGAAGTTTTAGATACAGATTTCCTCTCTCAGAGCCGAGAGGCCTATTTTAAAGTTTACAGCAGATCAAGGACTATATTTCCACAGTGAAGTCCTCACCTGTATGTGCGACTGCGTTTTCTTCTTCTCATTCTGCAAAGATTGGTTCCTCTCCTCTTCCTCCTCCACACGGGACTCCAGGTCATGAAGAATCTCCTCCAGCTCTTGTTTTTTAGCCACCAGGCGAGCCCTCATCTCTTCAGCTTCAGCAAACAATTCTGTCTCAGCCTGCAGTTGCTCTGCCAAGATGTTCTTCTCCTCCAAAAGCTGAAACAAACATCAAACCAGATCTTCTCTCTGTTTCTACAAAATGTTTAGCACTCAATTTGTTTGACAGAGTCACTATGATTTCGTAACACTGCAGAATATCCACTACATTGAATAAAGCCACAAGAGACCACAGTGATTTTAGAAAGCAACATAATTCAAGTGTGGCCATTTACATATATCAGATACGTAACAGTGTCTTTAAATGTGGCTCATTCCATCGGTTATTAGGTCAAACACTAACACAACACTTAAATAACACTGTATTTTCAGAAGACAGAGGGAGCAGGTGAGTGTGTGCTAACCTGCTGGTGTTTCCGCTCCATTTCAACCAGTTCGTTCTCTACTTTCACCTGCTTCTCCTTCACTTTAATGAGCTCCTCATCCTTGGCCTGCATTTCTTCCTCCTGACGGGTCACCTGGAGGAGGGGTTTCACCTGCAGACACACATGTAATGCATGTCTCAAATGAAAACTATCTGCAACAATACTGCAAACGAGTTTTTAAAGATTCAATTTCTCAGTTGCAAACACATACATTTCTTTTAGACAAGTATACAAAACCTGGTCAAATCATTAAAACGGACTCTTTCAAAAACCGAGACCAACCTTGGTGAAGAGTCTCCACCACTGCCAGTGGCGTAGTTTCAGGTAGGCGGCACAGTTTCTCTGCAGGACTTTCAAAGCGCTTAGCTGCTGCTGTTTTTTAGCAAAGGCTCTGAGAAACACAACGGCAAAACAGCAGCAGTTCACTGTCAAGGTCTCATAAGAATACATTTTATTTCTACACCATAAACAGTAAGAGCTGCATATCACTGCTGCTGCCCCTTTTAGACCAGATTTAGATCAGCCATCTCCATTTGGACTCACTTGCGAGCCAGATATCCTCGACAGACTGACTGAAAGTAGATGATGATATCTGTTATTTTCAGGTCTCTCTCTTCCTCCAGGTGTGCCAAAACTCCAGTGCGGAAGAAGATCTTACTCTGCCCGATCCGGTAGAGGTTTGGGTCAAGCTCCAAGGCTCGGATCTACAGATCAGATTGTTAGATGACACTTCGTCTTTAGCAGATGCAAAATTTCAGATGCTGGTATATCAATAATGGGCATCAGTAAAAACTTCTATGAAAAGAGAGAATGAACATAAAATAATTAACTCTTTAAAGTGCACCTTTAATTTTACACTTATTTATATAAATTATACAAAGAAATTTCATTATTATGATAAAGCTCTTTGGAGAGATGCATTATTGAGCTATAAGGTCTGATTCGGAAATTAAGCTTATTATTTTTGGAAGTGACATTTGGATATACCAATTTTAATTATGAAAAGAAAACAACTTAAATGTAGTGAAAATCTATCTGAAATTTATCTGAAAATGATTAAAAAAAAAAATTGTTTAAAACAATTACTCCACCATTGGTATGTTTGGGTCAGTAAGATTTTTTTATGCTCACCAAGACTGCTTTTATTTGATAGAAAAATACAGTAAAAACAGTAATATTGTGAAATATTATTACATTTTAACACAATTCTTTTCTATTTTATTATACTTTAAAAGGTAATTTATTCCAGGTTTACTTTTCAGCATCACATGATTTGAATGGCTAATTTGGTGTGTAAGAATTTTTTTTATAATTATAATCAGTGTTGAAAACAGTTGTGTTGCTTAATATTTTTGTGGAAATGGTCATACTTTTTTTTCAGGACTTTATTTTCAGGATTCTTTGATGAATGGAGTTTAAAAGAACTGTGTTTATTTGAAATAGTAAAGAAATTGTTACAACATTTTTTACACTTTTGATCAAATGAATGCATTCTTCATGAATAAAAGCAAACTTTTGAACAGCAGTGTTTGTTTTTATGGAAAATGTCATAATACACTGGTATTTTAACTATTTTGAATGATCAACGTCATTTGTTAGTCATCTTAAGAAATCTCACCATTCTCTCGCAAGCCTGCTTGCCGTCCATAAAACCTTTGGGGATTGCATTAGGGGTGAGGATCTCATATCTGCGAGGAAGACAGATATGAGAGTTTTCTCACTGATAAAATACAATAATATTAATGCTACAGCATCTTAAGACATATGGTGCTTCTCTACTCTTTAATGAGATATCTGAAGCACACCTCTGTCTGAACTCCTGGAAGACAATACGGTTAGGGAATCCCTGCCTGCAGATCCGGATCCCTTCTAGAACTCCATTACACCTCAGCTGATCTAGAACCAGATGAGGCTCCAGTTTACCAGCCTAGAAGAATGACAACATCAAAGAGGTGCATGATGACCACATTAAAGAAACTCTAGTCAAATAAAAAATGTTTTTAATTAAACTGAAGGACATATTTACTTACAACTGAAGGGACAAATGTCACTTACTCTTTTCTCATGATTGGGGATGATACAGCGGACAAAGTTGGGGTTGGTGTTTCTGAGTGTGGCCATGAGTTTTGTAAGGGACTCTTTATAGAGCTGACCCACAGTGCGGAACATGCCCTTCTTGGTCTTATATGTAGCCCCAAATGCAGTCTCATTCATCCCTGCCACCTGGTCCAAACCAACAATACGGTCCACTACCATGAAGAGTGAGAAAAAAGAAAGATACCAACCAGTTAGCTTGATCTTCAAAGTATTTACAGATGCATTTAAAAAAAAAAAGAGAGAGAGAGAGAGAGTGACACAGCACAGCCAAATCATGTGAAGATGCAAGAGGGAAATCTACAACTAAAGCTCTAATTCAACAACACCAAGCAGAAGGTCAAAATACGCTGTGTATTTTTTCATTCTTACAAAAACCATTTAATAATAATAATAAAAAAACTGTCCTTTGATTCCTTCAGGCCTTTAATCGTCATATCCCAAAAGAAAACCAAAAATAACTTTCAGATAGTACAGTGTATTTTGACTCAATGCCACAAGTTTAGACAGCCAATTCAAGAGCCAATGGCCCCCCTACTATGCCAGCAGGTGCAGGTCCAGTGCTAGGCAAATGGAGACATGAAACAGATGAAGAGTGCCAAGGATAAGACTACATCTATAAACAAGCACAAGCTGCAAAATAAAGTAAATGGAAGGGTGAACCTCAAAACCTGTCAAGATCATGTCCAGGACATACTTCACACCAATACCTTGCAGTTCATTGAGTCAGATGTTAATTCAGCAACTGCTCTCATGGTTTCATCAGACAGATTTAAACCAGTAATGCTTAACTCCTCTTGTCACCTGCTTGTGAATCAGACTACACTGATAACACTGTATGCAGCCCATATTTACAACTAATTAAATCGAATTTCTTTTGGTGTGGCGAATTTCAATGGCAGTGTGTATTTAGCAGTGCAGTGAACAGTGCTTTAAGTTTATAAAAAGTTTATTCTATTTATAAAAAAAAAGTTATAACTATATTTTGCTTAAATAATGGTCCTTAAAAGGCTTTTTTTAAAGATGTTTCCCTCAAGTACATTTTCCACTCCAATTCTTGTTACAGAATACAAAAAAGTGCATTTTAAAGTATTGATACATTGTGTAAGTATTTGTTGTAGTATATTGATTTCAATAAAACAAATCATAGTTTTGCCATTATTTTTACTCTACTACAGAAATGAGATTCTAACAAGAAACAACAAAACTTCTCAAAACAAATTCAAAATAAAGCATTTGGATGCATTACAGCAACTGAAATTGAGGGAAAATGTTGTTGTTGTTTTTTTTTTCTTTTGAGTGAAATATGACCCAGACATGTAAATCAAGTTCTCTCTCTAAGTAATGTTACTAAAGATGTCTCCTTTCAGCAACTGAATAAATAAATGTGAATAAATTTGCTTAGGAATAAATAAGACCCTAATCAGAAAAATTATATTCACAAATTTGAGTCTGATAACAGTGTCCTACAGCAAAACAAGTCAAACTTCAATCACTCCACACACAAGTAATCAAAAACTACATATTCTTTTTGATTTATTGGACCTCAAGTACATTTTCCACTCCAATTCTTGTTACAGAATTACAGAATACAAAAAAGTGCATTGTAAAGTATTGATACATTGTGTAAGTATTTGTTGTAGTATGTTGATTTCAATAAAACAAATCATAGTTTTGCCATTATTTTTACTCTACTACAGAAATGAGATTCTAACAAGAAACAACAAAACTTCTCAAAACAAATTCAAAATAAAGCATTTGGATGCATTACAGCAACTGAAATTGAGGGAAAATGTTGTTGTTGTTTTTTTTTTCTTTTGAGTGAAATATGACCCAGACATGTAAATCAAGTTCTCTCTCTAAGTAATGTTACTAAAGATGTCTCCTTTCAGCAACTGAATAAATAAATGTGAATAAATTTGCTTAGGAATAAATAAGACCCTAATCAGAAAAATTATATTCACAAATTTGAGTCTGATAACAGTGTCCTACAGCAAAACAAGTCAAACTTCAATCACTCCACACACAAGTAATCAAAAACTACATATTCTTTTTGATTTATTGGAGGCTGGTAAAGTGTAACTACTGGGGCTATATTAATAATTCTAGGTCTTGCAGCATTCTTGTAAACGTCATTCTTAAGAACCACTTCCAAGTAATGTGCTGTTCATAATGGGCTCGTGACGTGACTTCCGTTACCCCCATGGAGAATTTACTGAGCTGTCAGTGTTGACTGGCACAGGGCTGAGCGAGTCATTTGGATTCCAGTGAAACAAGACGTGTATTGTTTCGTGTTCCCTGTCGGAGACACTACAGAATTCCTCCACCCCTCACCCAAACTCCATCTCCCTCACACGGCCTATCAAATCACCATCTGACACTTAAAACAAACAAGTTATCTGACCGCCAGAAGCAAGGGCATAAGCGTACCACACACACACACCGCTCTGACTGCTGTAAACTAAGCTGTGTTTGAGGGAATCTCGTGAAAACCAGGTCAGGTCATATTTCACTGTGAAATATAAATTTTAAAAGGAAATAATATTTAGCATTAAGTCCATTTTAGGACAATGTTTTTGACAATTAAGCAAATTTTCAACCAAAACTGTCATTATCATAATGTGTCCAGACTAGGGATGCTCCGATCAGGATTTTTGCAGCCGATACGGAGTACCGATTTCTTGTCATAGTGATCGGCTGATACCGATGCCGATTCTGATGCTTCAAGCTTTACATAGACGGTTTCATCAGGCGCATGCGCCTGGCCCGAAGTTAACTTCAGGTCTGTGTTTGTTTATCAGTCTGGCTATGGCGCCGGCTACAAACGCAGTTAAAGTTAAGGTGATGAGCAGA